GGCGCTGATGGCCCGCGGGTGCAAGGCGCAGTCCACTGTGAGCTTTAACTCATCGCCTGCTCTCACCCAGCTCGTGCAAAGCATTGTGCTAGAGCGACAAGATGACTCGATCACTCTCGTAGATCATCCTATAAAGGATTTTGTTCCGTCCGGCATTATTGGTAAGCGTACATTCGTGATAATTAATAATTTTGACGAGGGTCTTTTACGACACGGTATGCTTGAAAACCTTAAGAGTGCTTGGGAACGTCTGCTAGCTCGGGATGCGCGGGCGCTGCCGTATAAGGGAGAATATTATGTTGCAGGAGCGAAATGCAAACGTATTGCTAATAAATATCGACTGCATGAAACAGTGAAGAAAATTTTGAAAATTCCCAACTCAAAAGTGCTCTGTACGTTACCCGAACAAAAAACATTCTACAAAGAGGATTTGAATATGTACGACGATATCAAAATCATGACGGATGAACAATTAGTTTTCGATATAAATTTTGATCGATATAACGATGTGGTAGCAAAAAATCGTGAATCATATTACGATATTAACCTAATAGCAAAAGAGGACGGTGAAATCGATGTGATAGTGGGCTGGTTTAAACTTTACTTAACAAAATACATAGAACTAACGAATGACCCGCGTACCGCTACTGTACCGTGCGATAGTCGCACAAAGGGGTGGTCGCAAGCTGTATTTCCGGATTTTGTACCGACAAAAGTGAAGATCAATCAGAGCACACCAATTAAATTTGTGTTGAAAGAGGGAAAAATAGCGTTCCAAACAGAATTCAGCAATCAGAGAATCTCAATTTCCCTGATTAGATTTCTAAACGACACAGTTTTCATGAACGCAATAATTCGTTGTGTTCCGTCAGCTTGTGCTTATCTGCAGCAGATAGTAGATATGACCGACACAGATATAATTGACTTTAGTCCATTCCCGATGTTCGGGCTTCAAATGATGCTTCGAGGTGCAAGATCTTTGCTCTGCCACGCGTGGAGTTTGGAAGACCAAAACTTTATACAGTCCGTCTTCAAGGCGAACGACATACCACTGGATAAAATTACAGTCCTTTATGGCGATTGTTGGCAACAAGAATTCTATAAAGATCAGGTGTATCATGTAATATTTTCTACGGAGTTGCTTCTGCGCGGAGATATCGACGCTCATATGTGGCAGACTATACAGAATTTACGAATCAGTCACCTGGCTCCGGGCGGTCTCTTACTGCCCACGAGTATCACTGTGATACTTCAACTAGCGACGAGTGATTGGTTAGATATAAATAACAAGTTACTAGATGACAATATCGGCTTCAAAATGGCGTCGCACGTTAACAAGTACCGGACAACTCAAGCGCTCGAACTGGACTTGTCTGTGATAAAGTATGAAGAGCTATCAAATCCTGTTCTGCTATCGGACTATTGCAATTTAAATCGGTCCCATATAGTGTCAGTGACGCCACTGAAAGACGCGGAGTGTAGTGCAATATTGTGTTGGTACAAACTTCAATTATTTGAACACGATGCTGAAATTAGTACCAAGAGAGAAGGATGCTTTATAGACAGTTTCGCTCATCTATTGAATCCACCTGTACCGATCTTCAAAGGTGATGACTTGAATTTGATAGTAGTGACAGAATCAAATGGCTGTAGCAAGGTAATTTTAGATACAGATTATTGATCTAATAAAAATAATTAGAAATAGGAATAAAAGGTAATTTCCTCTATAATATACATATTATGTATGTCGTCAGGATGTATAGAGGAAATTATTATTTTAAAGTAGTAACCTCCATTAAGATCAGTTATTTGGCCTAATAAAAAGTTCATCAACTTCATTCATGATAAATATCAGCCAAAACGTTAATGGTAGTTACGATGTCATAAAATTGTACGAGTAAGTACGATACTTAGTTAAGTTTCAAATAATCTTCCTTTTAATTTCCAACAATAGATTTAAGATATACAGGGTGTTTGGCGCATCGTTTGCCAAAAGAAAATTCCGGATAGAAGCAGTCAGAAGCTACCTTCTCAGCTTAAAAAAAAAAATCCACACCTCACGGAATAATTTATGGATAAATTTTAGTTCTTTTCTTGAAAAAATCCGAAATTGAGCACTTAACTTCAAACTAAAAAAAAGTAATTGTTATTGCCACCATTTTTTGGTTTTGATTTAATGTTCAATGTAATGCGGATCTCCTGGAATGAAAATAACGCAGTAGTAGCATCACAACTTTTTTTTGTGAATTAAAATGTTTTTGAAAGAAATAAATTTTTATTTAAACTTTCAACTTTCGATTGCAATAAAAAAAAACTACCTTTGATTATGATCTTCCAATTTTTTTAAAAGTTCTTTGGTCTATCTTCTTTCTAACGGCATGCAATATGCCACATAAAAGTTTTAATTACTTCCATAAATAAAAAAAACATGTGCATTGGGGTCGCATTAACCCTATATACGATTTGCAAGTTAAAAGTGTTTTTAACATGATTTGTGCAAATCAGATAAAAACTGTCATCTCTGTCTCTTTCTTTTCTACTGTCCCTTTCTTTTTCTCCATAAATAAAAGAAATATCATCAGGTCGCATGATTGACGTTCGACTTGGGACTTTTTGAATTCACTAATTAGATAGAAATGCTGTCTTAGTCGTGCTTAGTATTAGCACTCTGACTCTTTCTTTTATAGGGTACTAACTAGATTCATCTCATGACATAATATTTATTTACTAAAATCTTCACGGTCGGTAACTCGTTAATCGACGTTTATGTGTCTCTTAGTCTTTAGTTGTGATGTCACCATTCGACGACATTTACTTTGATCTCGTAATTTTTATTAGGTTGTTGAATAAGTGGCTTTTGAGTCATCGACTCTGACGCTTGCTAGTTTGGTTGGACATCCAAAGCGAGCAATCCAATGTTTCTAGACAATCTCGGTCAGACTAATACGATAATTGTATGTGTTGCTTGCTTCTGGTAATCATTTCGCGATTGAAGGGAGCGGTCAAACGATGTCTACGTGTATATGTTTAAAGGGACTAGCTAGAGGATAGGTGGAGATGTAAAAGTTAAATGACGATTATTTTTTTTATATTGTCTAAGTTTTTCGTCTAACCCAACGATAGTCGTGTGCCGGCTTTTGTTTCTATCCTGCTTGTTACGTAGTGAATGGCAAAATTTACTGTTTTGAAACAATTATATGTTTTCTACAAAGTTAATTGCGATATGGTATTTGTTTTTTTTTTTTTGTTAGAAACTAAATTGATACTGGAAAGTTATTTAATGCATTTTGTGTTTCTCTTTAAGTAGTTGTACAATTAGAATAAAATCCTTCAACGTTTTCGGATATAATGCATTATATACAAAGTGTAGATAACCAAATAAAATTGAAAAAAATAGTGTGAGTCCGCCTCGCACGTGGGCTATTCATTTTTAAAGTATTGACATAATAAAACGTGCTAATATGACATTCGATTTAATGGTCTTTAGCTTTTAATTTTTTAAATGACAAGTCAATAGCTTGGAATAGTAGGAAGTACCAAAAAGACAATATGAAAGTGTCGTTTAGGTATGCCCCGAATGCTATTCGTTTATGTGTTGCGTATTTGTCAAATAATTGCCACGTGGCAATATACTTGACAGAACATTGGTTTGTTTTATTAGCCTGTTTGCCAAATGAAACCAGTAACTAACACGTGTTAGGTTCTTGCAAATAGCCGAGTAATATTCCATCGAGTACTTAATGCACACAACTTCCATCCAACTTTAAATTTTATGAATAATAAGAATTATATTTATCCTTTCTGTAGACGCTTATATTTTTAAAGCTTATAACGTGAATATACGAATCTGTTCACTTTAACAATATATGAATTATTTGAAAAATTTAAATATAACTTGACAATATGTAGGAATCAAAAACACAACACCTAAATTAACCATAGGACTAAAAATTGGAAAAATACGAATCCCTTTCCGTAACCTAAAAGCTCAAACTATTTCCGAGAAGGTCAAAGCGTAATACAGATTTAAAAAAATACCACGCTTGTATTATGCATCAAGAAATCTTTTGTTGTTAAGACAAATAAAGTTAACAAAGTGACTACGGCTCAGACTTACGAAGACTGCATATGACAAACAACCCAGCAGTTCATACGCGACCGTCGTACCCGCTGGACGTACGCTGGACGTGAGAAATAAACGTTTCAGTATCCATTAAAAGTGCAATAACTGTGTGTGCAATAGCTTCTATTGATAGTTTATACTTTTAAAGTGCTATTTACATAATAATTTCCAAATGGAGTATTTGGAGATTAATGAAGCTCGTCGTTTGACTACCCAAGGAGAATACCGAGACGCTTTCAACTCTTATTTAACAGCAATAGAAAAGCACCCAACCGTGAAAATATATAAAGAATACGAGTTCCGCGTGGTATTGGCCAAATTAATGGAAGCGTTGTTCAAAATACCACGACACAGCTTCGAAATGATGTACTGCGTGTGTTATGCCTTACGCGCTTTTTCCGGTAACATCGTTCTACTGACTGACATCGGTGACATCTTTTACAGCTACGGTATGCATGCCGGGGCACTGTTTCACTACGAAAAAGCTTTTAACCTCGATTCGAGCCTTGTAAATGTTGAAATCAAAATGAATGAGTCGAAGAAAATGATCTCTGACAAAGGTCTGTTCAGATTATTTATATAACGATAAAACACGAAACGCCGCATATGGATCAGCCATGTACATGGAGATAAAACCTCAATACGACCGAATGTTAGACATGGACGGGGGCATTGGTTTATCGGCGCTGATGGCCCGCGGGTACAAGGCGCAGTCCACTGTGAGCTTTAACTCATCGCCTGCTCTCACCCAACTCGTGCAAAGCATTGTGCTAGAGCGACAAGACAACTCGATCACTCTCGTAGATCATGCTATAAGGGATTTTTTTGTACATTCGTAATAATTAATAATTTTGACGAGGGTCTTTTACGACACGGTATGCTTGAAAACCTTAAAAGTGCTTGGGAACGTCTGCTAGCTCGGGATGCGCGGGCGCTGCCGTATAAGGGAGAATATTATGTTGCAAGAGCGAAATGCAAACGTGTTGCTAATAAATATCGACTGCATGAAACAGTGAAGAAAATTTTGAAAATTCCTAACTCAAAAGTGCTCTGTATGTTACCAGAACAAAAAACATTCTACAAAGAATATTTGAATATATACGACGATATCAAAATCATGAGGGATGAACAATTAGTTTTCGATATAAATTTTGATCGATATGACGATGTGGTAGCAAAAAATCGTAAATCATATTACGATATTTACCTAATAGCAAAAGAGGACTGTGAAATTGATGTGATAGTGGGCTAGTTGAAACTTTACTTAACAAAATACATAGAACTAACGAATGACCCGCGTACCGCTACTGTACAGTGCGAAAGCCGCACAAAGGGATGGTCGCAAGCTGTATTTCCGGATTTTGTACCGACAAAAGTGAAGATCAATCAGAGCACACCAATTAAATTTGTGTTGAAAGAGGGAAAAATAGCATTCCAAACAGAATTCAGCAAACAGAGAATCTCAATTTCCCTGATTAGATTTCTAAACGACACAGTTTTCATGAACGCAATAATTCGTTGTGTTCCGGCAGCTTGTGCTTATCTGCAGGAGATAGTAGATATGACCGACACAGATATAATTGACTTTAGTCCATTCCCGATGTTCGGGCTTCAAATGATACTTCATATTTATCCTTTCTGTAGACGCTTATATTTTTTAAGCTTATAACGTGAATATACAAATATGTTCACTTTAACAATATATAAATTATTTGAAAAAAATAAATATAACTTGACAATATGTAGGAATCGAAGACACAAAACAAAAATTTTTCACCGTGGGAGAGCCACGCTTCGGCATGAATGGGCCGGCTCGACCGGAGTGATACCACGGCCTCACAGAAAACCGACGTGAAGCAACGCTTGCGTTGTGTTTCGTCGTGTGAGTGAGGGTACCGGAGGCCCAAACCCTCCCTATTCCCTTCCCTCTACCCCTCAACACGTCCCTCAAAGGCCGGCAGCGCACATGTAGCCCCTCTGGTGTTGCAGGTGTCCATGGGCGACGGTAATCACTTACCATCAGGTGATCCGTCTGCTCGTCTGCCCCTACCCATAAAAATAAAAAAAATTAACCATCGGACTAACCAATTGGAAAAATACGAATCCCTTTCCGTAACCTCAAAGCTCAAACTATTTCCGAGAAGGTCAAAGCGTAATACAGATAAAAAAAAAATACCATGCTTGTATTGTGCATCAAAAAATCTTTTGTTGTTAAGACAAATAAGGTTAACAAAGTGACTACGGCTCCGACTTACGAAGACTGCATATAACAACCCAGCAGTTCATACGCGACCGTCGTACCCGCCGGACGTACGCCAGACGTGAGAAATAAACCTTCAAGTGTCCACTAAAAGTGCAATAACTGTGTGTGCAATAGCTTCTATTGATAGTTTATACTTTTAAAGTGCTATTTACATAATAATTTCCAAATGGAGTATTTGGAGATTAATGAAGCTCGTCGTTTGACTACCCAAGGAGAATACCGAGATGCTTTCAACTCTTATTTAACGGCAATAGAAAAGCACCCAACCGTGAAAATATATATAGAATACGAGTTCCGCGTGGTATTGGCCAAATTAATGGAAGCGTTGTTCAAAATGCCACGACACAGCTTCGAAATGATGTATTGCGTGCGTTATGCCTTACGCGCTTTTCCCGATAACATCGTTCTAATGACTAACATCGGTGACATCTTTTACAGCTACGGTATGCATGCCGAGGCCCTGATTCACTACGAAAAAGCTTTAAACCTCGATTTGGGCTTCAGATTCTGTTCAGATTATATAACGATAAAACACGAAACGCCGCGTATGGATCCGCCATGTACATGGAGATAAAACCTCAATACGACCGAATACTAGACATGGACGGGGGCATTGGTTTATCGGCGCTGATAGCCCGCGGGTGCAAGGCGCAGTCCACTGTGAGTTTTTAACTCATCGCCTGCTCTCACCCAGCTCGTGCAAAGCATTGTGCTAGAGCGACAAGACTACTCGATCACTCTCGTAGATTATCCTATAAGAGATTTTATTCCGTCTGGCATTATTGGTAAGCGTACATTCGTAATAATTAATAATTTTGACGAGGGTCTTTTACGATACGGTATGCTTGAAACCTTAAGAGTGCTTGGGAACGTCTGCTAGCTCGAGATGCGCGGGCGCTGCCGTATAAGGGAGAATATTATGTTGCAGGAGCGAAATGCAAACGTATTGCTAATAAATATCGACTGCATGAAACAGTGAAGAAAATTTTGAACATTCCAAACTCAAAAGTGCTCTGTATGTTACCTGAACAAAAAACATTCTACAAAGAAGATTTGAATATGTACGACGATATCAAAATCATGACGGATGAACACTTAGTTTTCGATATCAATTTTGATCGATATGACCATGTGGTAGCAAAAAATCGTAAATCATATTACGATATTAACCTAATAGCAAAAGAGGACGGTGAAATTGATGTGACAGTGGGCTGGTTTAAACTTTACTTAACAAAATACATAGAACTAACGAATGAACCGCGTACCGCTACTGTACCGTGCGAAAGCCGCACAAAGGGGTGGTCGCAAGCTGTATTTCCGGATTTTGTACCGACAAAAGTAAACATCAATCAGAGCACACCAATTAAATTTGTGTTGAAAGAGGGAAAAATAGCTTTCCAAACAGAATTCAGCAAACAGAGAATCTCAATTTCCCCGATTAGATTTCTAAACGACACAGTTTTCATGAACGCAATAATTCGTTGTGTTCCGGCAGCTTGTGCTTATCTGCAGCAGATAGTAGATATAACCGACACAGATATAATTGACTTTAGTCCATTCCCGATGTTCGGGCTTCAAATGATGCTTCGAGGTGCAAGATCACTGCTCTGCCACGCGTGGAGTTTGGAAGACCAAAACTTTATACAGTCCGTCTTCAAGGCGAACGACGTACCACTGGATAAAATTACAGTCCTTTGTGGCGATTGTTGGCAACAAGAATTCTATAAAGATCAAGTGTATCATGTTATATTTTCTACGGAGTTGCTTGTGCGCGGAGATATCGATGCTCATATGTGGCAGACTATACAGAATTTACGAATCAGTCGCTTGGCTCCGGGCGGTCTCTTACTGCCCACGGGTATCACTGTGATACTTCAACTAGCGACGAGTGATTGGTTAGATATAAATAACAAGTTACTAGATGACAATATCGGCTTCAAAATGGCGTCGCACGTTAACAAGTACCGGAAAACTCAAGCGCTCGAACTGGACTTGTCTGTGATAAAGTATGAAGAGCTATCAAATCCTGTTCTGCTATCGGACTATTGCAATTCAAATCGGTCCCATATAGTGTCAGTGACGCCACTGAATGACGCGGAGTGTAGTGCAATATTGTGTTGGTACAAACTTAAATTATTTGAACACGATGCTGAAATTAGTACCAAGAGAGAAGGATGCTTTATAGACACTTTCGCTCATCTATTGAATCCACCTGTACCGATTTTCAAAGGTGATGACTTGAATTTGATAGTAGTGACAGAATCAAATGGATGTAGCAAGGTAATTTTAGATACCACCAAAAGTGCAATAACTGTGTGTGCAATAGCTTCTATTGATAGTTTATACTTTTAAAGTGCTATTTACATAATAATTTCCAAATGGAGTATTTGGAGATTAATGAAGTTCGTCGTTTGACTGCCCAAGGAGAATACCGGGACGCTTTCAAGTCTTATTTAACGGCAATAGAAAAGCACCCAACCGTGAAAATATATAAAGAATACGAGTTCCGCGTGGTGTTGGCCAAATTAATGGAAGCGTTGTTCAAAATGCCACGACACAGCTTCGAAATGATGTACTGCGTGCGTTATGCCTTACGCGCTTTTCCCGATAACATCGTTCTAATGACTGACATCGGTGACATCTTTTACAGCTACGGTATGCATGCCGAGGCCCTGATTCACTACGAAAAAGCTTTAAACCTCGATTCGAGCCTTGTAAATGTTGAAATCAAAATGAACGAGTCGAAGAAAATGATCTTTGACAGAGGTCTGTTCAGATTATATAACGATAAAACACGAAACGCCGCGTATGGATCCGCCATGTACATGGAGATAAAACCTCAATACGACCGAATATTAGACATGGACGGGGGCATTGGTTTATCGGCGCTGATAGCCCGCGGGTGCAAGGCGCAGTCCACTGTGAGTTTTTAACTCATTGCCTGCTCTCACCCAGCTCGTGCAAAGCATTGTGCTAGAGCGACAAGACTACTCGATCACTCTCGTAGATCATCCTATAAGAGATTTTATTCCGTCTGGCATTATTGGTAAGCGTACATTCGTAATAATTAATAATTTTGACGAGGGTCTTTTACGATACGGTATGCTTGAAACCTTAAGAGTGCTTGGGAACGTCTGCTAGCTCGAGATGCGCGGGCGCTGCCGTATAAGGGAGAATATTATGTTGCAGGAGCGGAATGCAAACGTATTGCTAATAAATATCGACTGCATGAAACAGTGAAGAAAATTTTGAACATTCCAAACTCAAAAGTGCTCTGTATGTTACCTGAACAAAAAACATTCTACAAAGAAGATTTGAATATGTACGACGATATCAAAATCATGACGGATGAACACTTAGTTTTCGATATCAATTTTGATCGATATGACCATGTGGTAGCAAAAAATCGTAAATCATATTACGATATTAACCTAATAGCAAAAGAGGACGGTGAAATTGATGTGACAGTGGGCTGGTTTAAACTTTACTTAACAAAATACATAGAACTAACGAATGACCCGCGTACCGCTACTGTACCGTGCGAAAGCCGCACAAAGGGGTGGTCGCAAGCTGTATTTCCGGATTTTGTACCGACAAAAGTAGACATCAATCAGAGCACACCAATTAAATTTGTGTTGAAAGAGGGAAAAATAGCTTTCCAAACAGAATTCAGCAAACAGAGAATCTCAATTTCCCCGATTAGATTTCTAAACGACACAGTTTTCATGAACGCAATAATTCGTTGTGTTCCGGCAGCTTGTGCTTATCTGCAGCAGATAGTAGATATAACCGACACAGATATAATTGACTTTAGTCCATTCCCGATGTTCGGGCTTCAAATGATGCTTCGAGGTGCAAGATCTTTGCTCTGCCACGCGTGGAGTTTGGAAGACCAAAACTTTATACAGTCCGTCTTCAAGGCGAACGACGTACCACTGGATAAAATTACAGTCCTTTGTGGCGATTGTTGGCAACAAGAATTCTATAAAGATCAGGTGTATCATGTTATATTTTCTACGGAGTTGCTTGTGCGCGGAGATATCGATGCTCATATGTGGCAGACTATACAGAATTTACGAATCAGTCGCTTGGCTCCGGGCGGTCTCTTACTGCCCACGGGTATCACTGTGATACTTCAACTAGCGACGAGTGATTGGTTAGATATAAATAACAAGTTACTAGATGACAATATCGGCTTCAAAATGGCGTCGCACGTTAACAAGTACCGGAAAACTCAAGCGCTCGAACTGGACTTGTCTGTGATAAAGTATGAAGAGCTATCAAATCCTGTTCTGCTATCGGACTATTGCAATTCAAATCGGTCCCATATAGTGTCAGTGACGCCACTGAATGACGCGGAGTGTAGTGCAATATTGTGTTGGTACAAACTTAAATTATTTGAACACGATGCTGAAATTAGTACCAAGAGAGAAGGATGCTTTATAGACACTTTCACTCATCTATTGAATCCACCTGTACCGATTTTCAAAGGTTATGACTTGAATTTGATAGTAGTGACAGAATCAAATGGATGTAGCAAGGTAATTTTAGATACCACCAAAAGTGCAATAACTGTGTGTGCAATAGCTTCTATTGATAGTTTATACTTTTAAAGTGCTATTTACATAATAATTTCCAAATGGAGTATTTGGAGATTAATGAAGCTCGTCGTTTGACTGCCCAAGGAGAATACCGGGACGCTTTCAAGTCTTATTTAACGGCAATAGAAAAGCACCCAACCGTGAAAATATATAAAGAATACGAGTTCCGCGTGGTGTTGGCCAAATTAATGGAAGCGTTGTTCAAAATGCCACGACACAGCTTCGAAATGATGTACTGCGTGCGTTATGCCTTACGCGCTTTTCCCGATAACATCGTTCTAATGACTGACATCGGTGACATCTTTTACAGCTACGGTATGCATGCCGAGGACCTGATTCACTACGAAAAAGCTTTAAACCTCGATTCGAGCCTTGTAAATGTTGAAATCAAAATGAACGAGTCGAAGAAAATGATCTTTGACAGAGGTCTGTTCAGATTATATAACGATAAAACACGAAACGCCGCGTATGGATCCGCCATGTACATGGAGATAAAACCTCAATACGACCGAATATTAGACATGGACGGGGGCATTGGTTTATCGGCGCTGATAGCCCGCGGGTGCAAGGCGCAGTCCACTGTGAGCTTTAACTCATCGCCTGCTCTCACCCAGCTCGTGCAAAGCATTGTGCTAGAGCGACAAGACGACTCGATCACTCTCGTAGATCATCCTATAAGAGATTTTATTCCGTCTGGCATTATTGGTAAGCGTACATTCGTAATAATTAATAATTTTGACTAGGGTCTTTTACGATACGGTATGCTTGAAACCTTAAGAGTGCTTGGGAACGTCTGCTAGCTCGAGATGCGCGGGCGCTGCCGCATAAGGGAGAATATTATGTTGCAGGAGCGGAATGCAAACGTATTGCTAATAAATATCGACTGCATGAAACAGTGAAGAAAATTTTGAACATTCCAAACTCAAAAGTGCTCTGTATGTTACCTGAACAAAAAACATTCTACAAAGAAGATTTGAATATGTACGACGATATCAAAATCATGACGGATGAACACTTAGTTTTCGATATCAATTTTGATCGATATGACCATGTGGTAGCAAAAAATCGTAAATCATATTACGATATTAACCTAATAGCAAAAGAGGACGGTGAAATTGATGTGACAGTGGGCTGGTTTAAACTTTACTTAACAAAATACATAGAACTAACGAATGACCCGCGTACCGCTACTGTACCGTGCGAAAGCCGCACAAAGGGGTGGTCGCAAGCTGTATTTCCGGATTTTGTACCGACAAAAGTAAACATCAATCAGAGCACACCAATTAAATTTGTGTTGAAAGAGGGAAAAATAGCTTTCCAAACAGAATTCAGCAAACAGAGAATCTCAATTTCCCCGATTAGATTTCTAAACGACACAGTTTTCATGAACGCAATAATTCGTTGTGTTCCGGCAGCTTGTGCTTATCTGCAGCAGATAGTAGATATAACCGACACAGATATAATTGACTTTAGTCCATTCCCGATGTTCGGGCTTCAAATGATGCTTCGAGGTGCAAGATCTTTGCTCTGCCACGCGTGGAGTTTGGAAGACCAAAACTTTATACAGTCCGTCTTCAAGGCGAACGACGTACCACTGGATAAAATTACAGTCCTTTGTGGCGATTGTTGGCAACAAGAATTCTATAAAGATCAGGTGTATCATGTTATATTTTCTACGGAGTTGCTTGTGCGCGGAGATATCGATGCTCATATGTGGCAGACTATACAGAATTTACGAATCAGTCGCTTGGCTCCGGGCGGTCTCTTACTGCCCACGGGTATCACTGTGATACTTCAACTAGCGACGAGTGATTGGTTAGATATAAATAACAAGTTACTAGATGACAATATCGGCTTCAAAATGGCGTCGCACGTTAACAAGTACCGGAAAACTCAAGCGCTCGAACTGGACTTGTCTGTGATAAAGTATGAAGAGCTATCAAATCCTGTTCTGCTATCGGACTATTGCAATTCAAATCGGTCCCATATAGTGTCAGTGACGCCACTGAAAGACGCGGAGTGTAGTGCAATATTGTGTTGGTACAAACTTAAATTATTTGAACACGATGCTGAAATTAGTACCAAGAGAGAAGGATGCTTTATAGACAGTTTCGCTCATCTATTGAATCCACCTGTACCGATCTTCAAAGGTGATGACTTGAATTTGATAGTAGTGACAGAATGAAATGGATGTAGCAAGGTAATTTTAGATAGCGATTATTGATCTAATAAAAATTATTAGAAATAGGAATAAAAGGTAATTTCCTCTATAATATACATATTATATACATCGTCAGGATGTATAGAGGAAATTATTATTTTAAAATAGTAACCACAGAACAAACCGTATTTCACTATAATAAATAAAAGTTATTATTTTTATACTGATCTATAACAAAATTAACATGGCCAAGCGACTTATTCCGTTGTATGAAAAGAAAGAAAGGCTCCCATAATTACTTACCGATTCATTTAATTACTCTACGATTTAGGCTATGCTTTCTCTGGCATTTCGCAAATGAATTATTTTGCTTCGCTTCACTACAGTTAAATTTATTGGAGAACTCATTTTCTATGATAAAGTGTATTGGGTGTTAAGATGCCAAAGTTGCAATTAAACTAACAGACTGATAGTGTAACGAACAAACCTCGTAAAAGTTATAAGAAACGTAGACAATAGACATAAGTAAAAAAAGGGAGGTCTTTCTGGTTACATTGCAAACTAACAAGGGCTTCAGTTGCTCATTGGCTAAGAAAACAAGGACGGGGCATTCTGTTGTCAACTTGTGCAAGCAATACTTTTCTCAAATGGGATAGGCAGAAAGTCTTTTGACTTTACCTTGAGCAAGTACGAGTTTTACGAGTCGAGAGACGGGGATATGACGATCCACATCCTGTGGTCGTTCCTCTGTTGTGCATTATGATATTGTGGCGGTCCGCCACATCTGCTGTGATAATGGATTGTTTTTTGTTTTAGTTCATCAATCTCCGTATGCATTTTCTGAAGCATGAACAAAAATTTGCGTTGTTACGTTGTTTGATTCATCTTTCTTCTTTGTTATTGAGTAAGTGATACTGCGGTAATTTCTTTTTGCTCTACAGCTTGATGATTTCATCGAGTGCGGTACATCTGCTTAATGTGTCGCTAATTACATCAACCGAACGTACGTGTGGTAGTAGATGATTCAACCATATCAGCCGTAGTGTTTTGTCTAGAACTTTGTCCGGGTGAGCGTTTCCATCCGACGTAGTAACTGTGTCGGTTCTGGTCGCCGAGTTCAAAGTCGGAGAGTAATCTCTGTAGTTGCTTGCTGTCTGATGCCTCTCTTGTAGATATATTTGTCATATTTTAATGACTGTAGTATTTTAATGGCAGTATGTAAAGATCGCAGATTTGATCGACATTTTCTTATGTGGACTGGGCGATGACCAACAGAGTTTTCTGCGCTTCCTTTTTGTGGAGCTCATTTTCTGCTGCTTTAAAAACGGCGTACCACAAATGTGATTTATCGAGCCAGAACGCAGCGGAGCGGCGGCCGTACGACGCTTCCGTTTTGTCATCCTGTAAAGGTGTTTTTGCGAGCGATAATTGCGCTCCCTTTATTGCAACTAGCATCTCCGAAGCAGGATCACGTAGTTGTCTTGATGTCGTATCGATTGGTGATCACGTCGGGGTTACCACTTTGGTAACTCTAATCGGGCCAAGGTTTGCTTATCGTTGAGTAGTAAAACTCCGTTGAAGGTGAATGAAATCTTACAGTACTTATACTTAATACGAAAATAAATAAGATAATTAACACTACTCAAAACTGTAGACAAAATAATAACCAATGAGAGACGGATATTTATTATAAAGTATTTACAATGGAAGGGGAAAGGGAAAGTGACAGAGACTTGGCTGAAAAGATTCACATGTGAGGCTCAGCTGTTGACACGCACTTGTGTTTCTGTCTCTTTTGTTTCTTATGGAGAGTGTTGCTGTGGTTCCTTTAAGACCTACTTATTTTTTGGCAGATACAAAGAGATAAATATTCTAAAACCAGACTGATATTTTTTTGCAATAATTACTTACCTATACATAATTCTATGTTTACAGCAGGTTTCATACTTGTTCCTGAATTTCTTAAGTGTATTATTTCACTACACTCTACTACTTAATATTTTGGATAAACACATATTATTAGCTATTACCATTAAAAGTTCAATAAATAAATAAATATTACACACGTAATGTGTTATGATGAAGTTATTATAAATTAAACCATTTATTGTAGATGCCAATGTTAATTAATAATATATAATGAATAAAATATAAATTGTTTTTAGATATATATAGCCTTAAGTAGGATATGCATTGCACAATCAATATAATTATAATTTGATGTATTTTAAATAATAAGTTGACAATATTATATTATATTATATAAAGACTATATACTCAGGATTTGCTACACCCATACAGGGTGTCACATGAACTGTAAATATAAATGTAACATCTTTATACATGCAATACATGAATAAATAAATAAATAGATGCCAAAATTACAACTTAACTAACACATGTTTTCCATATTCTATTGTTTAGTACAAATAGGCTAGTCTGTAGATAGTGTAACGATTTCTGTTATAAAAATATGTAAACACTAGACATTATTAAAAAAGAATGATTCATCCGCTATTGTAATTACGGATTAATGCATGTTGTAGTCAATTTGTACCAATAAATGTAGTCAATAAGTACGTGCGTGGATTTGTGTAAGTTATTATAATGATAAGTTTGATTTTAATATAAGTATATTGATTTTGTTAACCTACCTTTGCTTTTTCAAGCATTTTCGAATTTCTGAATTTTCTTTCTTTTTTCATTATCCGCACAAGGTGTATACTTTAATTACGTGTACTATCGGTGTACCTAAATTTGTTTAGAGTTTAATAATTGTAATTAGTTTATGGATAGTCAATTTTTATGTACCATTACGTTATTTAAGTAATTTGTAGATTATAATATTAAATGAGTATTGTATAAGAAAATAATTAGGACTTGCCTGTAAATCTACTGTTTTGTATATTGTACATAAATAAATTTGTAGATATAAAATATATTTTATTATTTTCACCCCAAACCAACAGTCGAACGCTAGAAATACAAGTCTACAAAATATGAAGAGTCGACATCCATTGAAAACTTTTTTAATAAAATAAATCCCAATTTGATTTGTGATTATCTTTTTATAGATTTATAATTGATTTAGGTTGAGGAACGCCAAAGGTTAAAAATAACGCTTGTAAGATATTTAGCCTTTCTGTCTGTTTGACCGACAGTCTGTAAAACACAGCTAAATGTCTGCATAATTACTAGGTAAATTGAGTTGAAATTTATGTACAGATGTAGATCGGCATAATGTAGCTACCCGTAAGTGAAATATTTTTTTAAGTCGCTCCAGCAGTTTCAAAGCCTATTCAATGGAAACAAACAAACGCACAAATCAAATCTTTCTTCTTGATAATAATAGTATAGATGTGCCTCTAGTTAATTTTAATTTTGAATTCGATTCCAAAATTTTGACAGATTTTTATAAAATTAAATTACGTTTATTGCATTTTTAAACTAAAAATCCAAATTTCAAAAGTTCTCTAGAAATATTAATAGATTACGAGAATTTTAATATTCATTAAACTAATGTTCTGACGAATTAGTCCAGAGGAGTGTCACCATCATCATCATCAGCCCTTTTACGGCCCACTGCAGGGACTCAGGCCTTCCTTACGGATGGTTAAGGATGATGGGCCACCCTCCACGCTAGCCCAATGCGGATTGGAGAGTATTAACGACTGCAAAAGCAGCCGGGACCAAAGGCTTAACGTGTTTTCCGAAGCACGGAGTAGCTCGATATAATAATTCTTTTGTCACCCATCCCGTGACCGACCCTTGCGAGTTGCTTAACAACAACGATCGCGGGCCGTGGCACTTATCCATTACGCCTACCGAGCTACTTCACCGAGCCAGAGGAGTGAAGCAGAGTATAACATAGAAACCAAGAAATAATTGACAGATTATTAAAAATATGTAGGTACGGCGATTAATAGTGGATCCAGCAATCACACTACAAAGTTATGGTGTACAGGTATTTAGTTCAATTTTTTTTTTTGTGTATATAAGGTAAGTTATTACCAGAGGTCGGAATTATTTATGTACTTGCATCGAAATATTGATATTAATGTGAACCTTCCCGGGATTTCTTTATTTCTTTTGTACGAGTTGTTGTCCATCGTACATGGTTTTCTCCGTGTAAGCATAATAATTAAGGTCGCGTCACCGCCGCGATTCGTAAACGCGTGCAATTTGTAAAATAATGCATTTCTATCATGAAATAAATCAGTCTATTTTTAGCACTCTATCGGAACGGTTTTATTTATCAAACATCGTCGTTCAACCCTATTATTATCAATTATCAGTTATCATTTTCTATTAAATGTAAAGGTACTTAGCATTGAACCTTACATTTATATTGGTCCTTCGAGATTTGTTTACGCGCGGGTTACAAATCGGACCTTGTGTGGACCTTATCATATTACTTGGAAAAAGTTATTTTCCTACGCTTGGTTTTCCGCGCTATTTACAATCAGTGAAAAATAAATATCAAAGTGGTTAGTAACCGCAAACTTGCAGTTTAAAGAGAAGTTCTGTGAGCGTTTAACAGTATCATTTGGTGAGCCAGGAGGCTTGCTATTCCCGTATCAACTTTCGGTGGGCCAGGAGGCCTGCTATTTCGCATCAAGGCAGGCCAGTAGGCTTGCTGTCCACATATCAAAACACGACAGGCCAGGTGGTCTGTCGATCCAGTATCATCGCCAGGATCCTGTTAAGTATCCAGCTGCGTCGCTTCACATTTCCAGCTCAAAGTAAGATTGCTCCTTTTTTATCAATTGTTATTTTTGTTGTATCACCATGGAAGGTTTACTAGCACGTCAGAATGCCATTATTGAGTCTATCATAAATATCAAGTCGAACTTCGGAAAGGATTCCTCTAGCAGAAAAACGCCGGAATATTTGCAACGAAGAATTAATTCGCTCAATGAACTTTGGAAGGAATTTGAGATGAATAACAATCAATTAATTAAATCATGCGAGGATAAAACTCATGGGTACTTTACCGATAATCATTTTGAGAGAACTAAGGAAAT